GGTGTTGTGTAAGCTTCTCCCTCAGGCAGCTCGAGCAGGATGCTTCCCTCCTGATCTCAAACACCCACCCACTGGGATTCCCGTTTTAGACCTCTTTGGAGCCGAGAGCATCATACTCTGCAGATGTAACTAGCACTTACTGAAACAAAACAGACAGACTCACTCCAAAGGCCGAAGATACACTAATCTGTTTACACCACCCACTCCCAACTCTTCTCTTAAGTGCTGTAAATATTGGGTTTTCTGTTTGGGGGTATTATGAGACTTACCTAATCAAAGAACAACGAAAACAAGATCCTAACTCTGTTGGAGCTGGAAGTGCAGGGCCAGGCTTGCTTAGCTCTGCTCCCTGTCAAGGACATCACCCTATGCCTCTCTAGTTCCTAGAAGGTCTAACAGCTATTTCAACTAATAGCTTGAATATCAATCACTTTATTTAGCTGCCCAAGGTATGTTAAGGCAAATGCTACTGTACTTGAGCTTCAAATATGAGTTGATTTTAGGCCTGAGGTCTGTCTTTCAAAGTTAGAGCCAGAAGGATGGGGTACTTTGTGACAATTCTAAGCCATACTGCTTTACCTAAGTTCAGGAAACCGAGTAAAATTAAATAAGAGAAAGAAGAAGCTGGTGGCTGAAGCACAAGCTATTAAAATAATCTGTTATTAAATAAACATTTTATTTCATAGCAATATCACATTTTCAGAATGTAGTTATAATTGCTTTCCTGCCCTATACTTTATACACTTTCCTTTTATTGATGTCATAGCAATAAAATCCCAGCCTTTTCAAACAGGCAGCCTTCCAGTCACACCAGAGTGGGTGGTAAGCCATCCCTTGAATCTATGATTGTAAATATATTAGTGCCCATTGAATAAAGAACGCAAAAAAGCTGCTCAGAATTTAGTCATACTTATGCCTAACCCCAAACTCCAAACTCACTGCCATCTAATCAATTCTGACTCATAGCGACCCCTATGCTTTTCCAAGGCAATAAATCTTTACAGAGGTAGATTGCCCATCTTCCTTACGCAGAGCTGCTATTGGGTTTGAACTACCAGTCTTCTGGCTAGCAGGCAAATGCGCTAGGCACTGTGCCACCAGAACTCCTTTATACCTAACAGCATACTTTATTATAGCAGTATATACATGCATTTAAAAATAGCAGTGTACTATCTACAAAGACGTAATAATCAGACTAAAAATAATGCCTGTGCACCTGTAACTTCACGGACAACTATGGTTGTCTGTGGACCAGAGGTTAGAAATGCCTGAACTTGAGGGACCGAAGTTATACTTCGCGCCACAGTTTCTATGAGATGAAGCATTTCTTCCACTATCTCTGGATTTCAGGAAGCAAAATGTTTTGTCCTTAAAAGAAAAAAAAAAAAAAAAAGATTAGTTTGTCTTAATCTGATAAATGCCCGGGGGCATCACAACTGTTTCCTAATTACACAGTAATTTAAATCAGATCTACAGCAAGGCTCTGAAGGGAAGAAGGGCTGCTGATTTTGACAGCTATGGTGGAAATCTCCCACCACAGGAATAAAAAAGGTAGTGACTTAAAAAAGAACTGAATTGTGATTACATCTGCCTAGGAGATAATTAATAATACCTTTAATATATGGAAGGGCTTGATTTAAACAGGGGTCCATATAGAACCACTGGATAGTGAGGAAAACAGTTCATGTAAGTAAGTGCAGTAAATGGAGTCACCACAGAGTTTCTCACGAGGACATCTTTTTGTAGTAAATGTGAAGACATGGGTAGTGTTTTGTTGGGGTTATGTAAAATTATTGGTTGGATTAGGTATGAACTAGCTTTCAGAACTATTATGTTTGTTGTTTTTTTAGCACACACACACACACAAATAGCTAAAAGGCGGCAAAGGCAGCATTTGAGTTTAATGATTTTCTAAATGAGCAGGCATTTTCTGAGGCAGTTTTCTGATTTGGGGAAAGAAAATGTGTTTTTCGTTGCAGTTGAAGATGATGCAAATCATTGAGGTTGGATAGTGTGTTGTTGTTGTTATGTGCTGTTGAGTCAGACCTGACTCATAATGACCCAGTATCACTATAGAAGTAGACTGCTCAGCCTTCCGAGGAGTGGCTGGTGGGTTTGAACTGCCAGCCTCTGGTTAGCAGTCAAGTGCCTTAGGCACTAGGCCACCAGAGCTCCACATACAGACAGATGTAAGAAAAGTAAAGGGCAAATGAGAGTCCCTGGGTGCTACTGTTAACACACTCAACTGCTAGTCAACAGGTTAGCAGTCCAAGTCCACCACAGGCATCGGAGAAGACAGACCTGCTGATCTCTCCAAAAATCAGCCATACAGAGTCCTGTGAAGTACAGTTCTCTGATGCATCTGGGAGTACCATGAGTCGGAATCTACTCAATAGAATTGGAAAAGGGGGCTAATAAGAGGTGTTATACTTTCTGGAAAAGCATGTTCAATGCATGAAAAAGAAATAGGGTAAGTGGAGTAGTAAAGGAGGAATTTAAGAAAATGAAAGTGGGGGTAAGCTTAGCTAGAGTTCTGAATTCAGAAGAACTGTAGTCTCTGGTCTGATCTTTGGCTCCTTGGTTGATGCCTGTTCTTGCCAGGGACCCCGGCTTCCTACTCTTTAGTTTGTTCAGCTTGCAAGAGAGTCAGCTACCTTTACATGATCAGTAATTAGTGAGTCAATAATTTAGCAATTTATAAGGACTTATACATTCTCAGAAAATATATTAGTCATTGTCTTAGAAATACATCATTAATTCCAATATGGTACTTTCCAGATGAGATTTTTCTTGGACAATTAAAAGTAAAACATAGATTATCAGATATATTGAGAAACTGCTTTTTACCCAAATAATTAAGACCAAAATATTAGCCATCATGCCTATTTCAGAGACCTTTATATCTGGACTTTTCTATAATCACTATCAGGCTTTGTACACTAATCTTTACCTACTTGGCTTACTTCTCAGGATTGTAAAATATGAAATGTCCATAATTAATAATCTTTTATTAGCCTAATGAAAAATGTGGCACTCACATATAATTCCAGAAGTATTTATTCTTGTATTTTCAAAATGATTAATAGACCATCTTGTTAAATATTGATCATTCCTATATTTTTCCAAACAAGACTATGGTATGGAATAGTCTATCTCACACCTTCACCTAAAACAAAAATGTTCTTTTTTTTTCCCCCATTCCTTTTAAATGTCACACATGTATTATTATTGTGCTACTTTCTCTGTTGTTTTCATGGGTGCAGAGAAAAAGCCAGCTCTAGCAAAAAAAGAAGGAAAAAATACTTCCTGATTTAAGTACTACCACTGTTGTTACTAGTAGAATTAATGTTGTTATTTTTGTTGTTATGTGCTATCTAGTCGGACCCAACTCATAGCAACCCCTTCTTGGGTTGCCGAGGCAATATCACTATGGAAGTAGATTGCCCAACCTTCCTTCCGAGGAGTGGCTGATGGGTTTGAACCGCCAGCCTTCTGGTTAGCAGTCAAGTGCCTTAGGCACTATGCTACCAGAGCTCCTAGTAGAATTAATAGAATTGATTAATTAATAGAATGCTAAGGAACATGGGGCGATCTACCTCCATAAAGATTTAGCCTCCAAAACCCAATGGGGGTTGCTGTGAGTCGGAAATGACTCAATGGCAGTGATTTTTTTTTTTTTTTTTTTAATCATCAGGTACCACCATCTGCTGAAAGTTATGCAGAAAATAAGCTAAGAGTCCAAAGGTGACATCGGAGTGATTACAAGATTCCAACATACCAAACAGAATTTGTGGCGTTTGCACAAAAATGAGATTCCACATTGTTGGGGTTTTTGTTTTTGTTTTATTGAGAGTCTTGTGAAGATGAAAGTAAGGCTGGAGGGCTTTGGGTGCCCTAAATCTTTCCTTCACCAAGGCACTAAGAGGAAGGTCGGGGAGGGGTCTCTGTCTCAGTCACCGGTGCTTTGCTTGAATCTTGATGTGTGCCCCCCGGGATCCAGCTAGCCTGGAGGACAGAAGCAAGATACAGGCATCTGTATTCTCCTGAGCTTCTCCATTCGATCTCTCTTCAAACACACCTAGTTAAATGTTCCCAGTGTAAAATCCCCAATGAGCTGCTGGGAGTTGGGATCTTTGTGTAAATGATGGTTCAGTATATGCTTGGGGAACAATGTTCTGAACTAAAAAGAAAATCGAAAGGAATGAAATACTGAAACAGCATGAGTCTGGGTCTTCCCATCATCTGCTTTTTTTCTCTCCCATACAGGTGCCACGTGTCTGATCATGACGCTCTTAGAGTGGAGAAACACTTGCCTAGCAGAATGGGCCCCTGGGAAGACATATTTTTGTAACCCCTTAGGACAATGAGAGTAGCTTTATATATAGGTTTTAATTTGTCCCAGGGATTAAGTAGGGAAGAAGAACTGTAGTTGTTATGTTCCCATGTGTAAAAGTTCATACCACATGAACACATGAAGATGTTTTTTTTGTTTTCTCCATTATTTTTGAAATCTTTCAAAGACTTACATTGAGCAATAATTTTATTGCCTTAAATCTGTGTTTTTGTGTGTGTAATAAGTGTGAATATTAGCTCTTAGTGAAAATAGCTGCTTCTACAATCTATCCCCAATTCTTCCCAACACCTTTTGAAATCAAAACTTCCTGCTTTTGCTTGGGGGTGGACTCACTGTGTAAGGTTTCAGAGGCCAGCTGAGATTGCTGAAGCTTTCAGGGCTTGATTTTTTAATAAGGAGAGGTTGGGAATGGGGTGTGCAAGAAAGACATAGGGTGGGGAAGTGGGCCAGTTGTACGGGTTGGGCTTGCATATGTTTTGATATGTGTTTTACCCTGCGTGCCTGATACATCTGCAAATAAATCCATCTCTATTTTATTCATAGTTCTAATGGCAAGTCTGTGTCATGGTCTGAACCAGGTGGAAGACAGGTGCCCAAAGGACAGCACACGTGGTACCGACTCTCTGTGCACGTGAAGACCAATGAGATGGCCTGCAACCAAACAGCGGTCATCAAGCCCCTCACTAAAAGTTACCAAGGCTCCGGCAAAAGCCTGACCTTTTCAGATACCAGCACCAAGACCCTTTACAACGTGGAGGAGGAAGAGGACGCGCAGGCGGGCCACTTTAGCTCTCCCAGCAGCCCCTCCATGGTGGTGCACCGACGCCTGCCCACCGCGGTGACCACTCCCCCCCTGCCCCCCCACCTGACGGCAGAGGAGACCCCCCTCTTCCTGTCGGACCCGGTCATCGCCAAGGGCTTGCCCCCTCCGCTCCAGCAGCCACCGCCACAGCAGAAATCCCTGACGGACCAGCTGCAGGACGTGGTCCACAACTTCAGCACCGGGATCCCCGACTTCAACGCCGTGTTCGCCGTCCCCGGGGGCCTGGGCAATGGAGGCCGGTCCCTGTACCCGCCCCCGCCCCCGCCGCAGCACCTGCAGATGCCGCTGCTGCAGCTGAGCACCTTCGCGGACGAGCCCGTGTCCCCTCCCGCGGAGGACGACGACGACAGCGAGTTCAAGCTCCTGCAGCAGTACGTGTACGAGCGGGAGGGGAACACGGAGGAAGACGAGCTGGAAGAGGACGACGAGGACCTGCCCGGGGCCCGCAAACTGACCCCGGAGGACTCGCCTGCCCTGACGCCCCCCTCGCCTTTCCGAGACTCGGTGGCCTCGGGCAGCTCGGCGCCCAGCTCCCCCGTGTCCGAGTCGGTGCTCTGCACCCCTCCCAACATGACCTACGCCTCTGTCATTCTGAGGGACTATAAGCAAAGCTCTTCCACTCTGTAGGGAGCAGGGGTCCACGTGGGAAAGCAAGCCGAGTCAGGAAGCCCCGCCTCCAGAGATGGGCAAGAAACCGTGAGCAGAGGGCGAAGTGAAGAAGAAGGAAAGGGGACATAGCTGCTGCCTTAAGCAAGGGGAGGGAAGGATGCTGCGCTCTGCAAGCAAAAAGAGGAAAAGATTCAGGAAAGGAGGAGTTCTGATTCTTGAATTATTCAAAAGCCTTCTCTGAGAAAAAGGGAATTCTGACAAAGCACAATCCCATATGGTATGTAACTTTTTGGCAAAAAATACAATAAAATAAAATCTCCTCTTTGCACAACTGTGCACAGATCTCCATGCCCACACACACTTGGCCAAGCTTGAGAAGGGACAACACATGGAGATGTCCATGGAACCACTCGTTGGCCTGATGGCATTCATGTATTCACACCGAGCTGGTGGGTGAAGGCGGAGCGGGCATGGAATGAATCACCCAGTGAGTAGGATGGAAGAGTGACCCATTTCTCCGTGCACACGCTTCACTTCACCCACCGCACCCCAACCCGTGCCAGCCTCGCTGTAACACTTGAAGAATGGTGCATGACCATCCCGCTGCTCTGTGATTTCTCTCCATTTAGGAAAACAGGACTGAGAGCAAAGATCATCACCAACAAGGGCTTCCTCCTCAGGACTGCTAAGGGAGGGAGGAGTGAGAAGCAAGACAATAGGTAAGCAGGAGCCTTTGAAAAGAACGGGCATGTTCAGCTTCCGGTATATGATACTCACTTATTGGTGACTTTGGGAAACAGCCAGAGCAAGAGATGGCGTAGAGTGGCAGAAGGAAGAACTTTTGTGGATTATCTTGTGTTTGTGCCAAGGGGCCTCCATTGCCCTTCAGTTAAAGAGGCCAAACCATGAGGCAAATTGTTACTTTCCATTTACTGTAGCAAATACTACTTACCAGTTCACTCCTAAGATGCAGTATATGTACAAGTGGTGCCATTGTTTCTCTTATGTACTACAGAAACAAATCCATCTTTGAACCGAATGGTGTACTCATAGCAACTATTACTAGTTTAAATGACAAGTGATTTTTTTCCTGTCATCACTGAGGTCCCTGTAACACTGAAATAGCAGGTGAATGTGTTCCTGTGTCTTTGTATACTTGTGACTATAATATCTGTGCAACGTAATGTCAATCTAACTACAACTAGACGACTGTCTTTCAGGTATAGCTACTTTTATGTTCAAGTAATGTTTTCTGTATCACTGTCAGCAGTATCTACAGAAGCTTTCTGAAGGTCTGAGTGCTGTGCCCACATTTTTCATACGCAGCTCAGAAGGTTGTTCCTCATCTAAGAGGGAATGTATTTTTCAGATATTTTAGGATATGGGAATGTTATTTAATAAAGTGGCTTGAAATTTGTTATATTAAAAGTTAAAAAAAAAACCTGTGGATAACAATAAAAACATACATTTTATAAACTTGCACATATTATTATTGAAACAGATGACTGAAAAGACAATATTTAGATTATTTCAGGTTACTTTAGGGGTTTGAAACATTTCCCACAACTAATTCTGCATTTTGTGCTTAAAGCATACTGAGTCTGGTCAGAATATCTCAAATATTTTTTTATCCATCATTTTTGCCTTTGTTTAATTTTTATTTCTATGTACTTTCATGCCTGGATTTCCACAGTCACATTTTTCTTTATATTTTTGGTATTTGCTGTAGTGTAAGACCCATGTCCATGGTCATCCAGTTGTTCCATTTTTCCCCTCTCCAGGTTACCTTCAATAAAAGTTGTTTTTGTTGCTGTTTTGATTTTTACAAATATTTGTCAAATGACTTTTCCACCCTTTGATTGCTTTGTTGATGCTTTATGTTCAGTCATGTTTTGCACATGCTTCCTTCATGTTGAAGCTGATTTCTCAGCCAAAATAACCTTAGACCCTTTAAATACTCATTGCATCATTTGTCTAAAATTCAAAATCTAACCAGTGCTTGAAGTTCCTGTCTCTTCTGTCTTACCATATACTCCTGCCAGGTTTTGTCAGCCCCATGTCGAGAATAAACTTCCTTTCTTTTAAAAAGTAATTTTAAAACACTTTTGGTGAAAAGTAAGACCTCATAATTGAAATGTAGTTTCCAGTTCTATATTTACATTGTAATGAAGACAACTGAGGAAAAAAAAAAAAATGAGTGATTCCAGTGCTTAAGATGGATGGATTTCTATTAACTGGAAAGCTAACAAGGGAGAGGATAGAATCTATTATTGAAAACTGGTTGTGTTTTGTTTTTATCCTAATGCCACTAACATATGTCCTTGATATTACAGAACTCATGCTTTTGGATTTTTTTATATTTAATAAAAATAAACAAGTTCTATGGTTCAAATAATAATAAGTCAGTTCTGAAGTTTTGGCCTGAGATATTTGATGAACATATTAAACACTGATCATGTAATATACTCAACATCCCTACTCTTACCATGAATACTAGTTTTCCGAAATGCAATAGAATATTAGCTTTTATGAGGGAGCCTGGTGGTGCACTGGTTAAGTGCTCAGCTGATCTCTAAAATGTTGGCAGTTGGAACTTCCAGCTGCTCCACAGAAGAAAGTTGTGGCAATCTTCTTCCATAAAGTTTACAGCCTTGGAAACCATATGAGACAGTTGTACTTTGACCTTGAGTCATTGTGAGTCAGGATCAACTTGACAGCAATGAGTTTTTGGTTTATTAGCCCTTACATCATAATTGTTCAAAAATGAAAATATACACACACATACCATGTACCAAAAGGGCAAAGACTCTTCACCTAAATATGTGTGTGTGTTCAAGTTGTTGAGCTTCCTGTAAAAGTATTTTCTTTTGGTTCCTTACTGCTTTTTTGTCAAATAATCTTAAAAATGCTATAGAATAAATATTTTCTATTTATGAAATGTGTACATTCCTTCTACTTTTTAAGAATCGTCCTAATAGAAATAGACTGGTATAATAAATAATGGCAATGGTTTAATTTTCCTCAGAAAATTAAAGGATTAGAGGAAGCTTGGAGGGAGGGTGGACAGACCATCTCTAAGTGGAGGTAGGTACCACAGGTCAGGTAGATGGCACCAAAAGTAGAATGCAGTTTGACTACAAGGAGGGTCATATCTAAAGCTGTAACAATTTTCAGTGAAATCCAGAACTTAAAGCTGCAATTTCCATGGAAGACATTGCCTTTTGTATTTTTGATGGAGTATGTGGGGCTTCACAGACTCTCAGCTCGACAGAGGCATCCAAGAGCCCCTAATCTCGTTTTCACTTATGTCCTGCAAGGCTTTTGCCTTTGGTTCACATTTTAGGGGGACCTGGTTCTCTTCTTGTTGATGTCCTCCTGTTGACTCCAAGTTCCAGCCCTACATTTCACTGAAAACTTCACTGCTCCCCTAAATAAGGGAATCTCCCTGTTATTTGTATTTCTCTGACATGATATTCCTGCAAAGTAAGATTATCTGCCAAGTATCTGTAAGAAAGAGAACATGGTAGTACAAGAGCCATAGGCATAAGATCATGGAGGGTTTAAATGGTAGGATGGCACACCAGTTTCCTTCAGTTTTTCCCAGCAAATAGACTGAAATGGGAACTTAGTGTCTCAGGAGGAAAAGTGATAGGAAAGAAGATGAGAAAGAAAAATTGGAAGGAAGAAGGAAAAAAAATGAAGGAAAGTAATAAGAAAGGGGGAAACATTTAAAGTGTGAAGTACAGAGATACACCCAAGGCACTAGGTTATCATGGTAGATCATTATAGCCTCCTCTTCAGGAGAGTCTAGAAGCCTCACCTGGACCATAAAGAAGACATTTGGAGAGGTGGGGGTTGGGATCCAGAGACCACAAATGACCTGTGAGTAGCTATCCCTTAACTTCTACAGAGAATACTGTGAAAAGGAATCGAAGAGAAGGAAAGCAGTGATTTCTATAAGCCTACTCCACTCCTTGGAAGGAAGGTTGGGCAATCTACTTCCATGGTAGTAGACCAAGGAGGGGTCGCTATAAGTCAGGGCCCACCCGATGGCATATAACAACAACAACTCTATGCTATACATTGTGATAGGTTCTTTGCATTCATTCTCATTTAATCCTCCCAATACAAATGCCACACAGATATTCTAGAGAAGTGAAATAACTTACCCAAAGTGTCTCAGCAAGTAATAGCAGAGATTCATTAAATCCCCATCTTAAGCCAGTACCCATCCACTGCCAGTGAGTCGATTCTGACTCATAGCAACACTACAGGACAGAATAGAACTGCCCGATAGGGTGTCCAAGGCTGTCAGTCTTTATAGAAGCAGACTGCCACATCTTTTTCCCATGGAGCAGCCGGTAGGTTTGAACCACTGACCTTTTGGTTAGGAGCCCAATGCTTTAACTACAGCACCACCAGAGTTCCTTTAAGCCAGTACAGAGCCTGTAAAGTCATGTTCCACTCCAGAGCTTAGGGAAGGTATGTAGGAGCTACCCTCTGTTAAGACTGTGCCCTCATTCACATTCCCATGAATTTTATTCACTTCCACAACTACATCAGTTCACTTGTCTCCTTTAGTCCATAGAGTGTAAGTTCTTTTTAGTGTGGAATCATTTCTTTTTTCCTTTCTAATTTCTGAGCCCTCCAGACAAAGCAGGTACTCAGTAAATGTTTGTTGCAAAGGTAAATGAGTATTACAACATCCTATGATTTCCCCAGCTTAATTCCTTGAAGGGTTATTCCAAGATTCCTATGAGGTTCAAAGCTTTTCTCCTCACCTACTAATCCTGGCTCAGCCAGCTTTAACAACACATGGTTTAACATGAAAAGCAGGCTCACCTTTTGGCATCAAAAGAGCTGTTACACTAGGCAGCAGGTCCAGCCCCAC